AGAATTCTCCTCCATCAGACTCTGATGGACAGTCAACAAACCTTGATGGTTCTGAATTTTCAAAGGACCCAATCTTTAGAGTTTGGCGTTGCTGCTTGATATTTAAATCCTACTTCTACCTAGGAAGACTGGAGGATGCGATTATCTCACTGGAGAAGCAAGAAAAACTTCAGTCTCTTACAAAAAAGTAATAATAGGCTTGCATATATGGAATCTTCTTTTATGTTCCTCTCTCTTGAAAGATCTTCTTTTATGCTTGTCAATTAAACCACAACGCATTGTTTGACATGCTGTTGTAGGACTGGAAGCAAATTTCTAGAGTCCTCAATACCCCTAGCTTCAGTTGTTCGTGAACTTTTGCAACATAAGGTATGTTTATATGCTTTATCTTTATTTACATGGGGTCCCTTTTTTTTTTTCCTTTCTAAGACGCGTCTAAAATTAGTGACTATATAGTACTGCCATGTCCGTAGCTCTATGGCATATGTCTCACATGCGATTTGGTGGTTAGATGTACACCAATTTTGTCCTATTAAGGATAGGAGAAAGCTGCTTCAAGTGGGCCATAGGTTCAGTTACTCTGTTTCTCAAACCAATATCTTAGAGTATGTTAGCTTCTTGGCAGAATTTAATCTACTCTTATCTTTTAACAAGGGTAATAATTGAAATAGTTGAAATGTTAATGATTGGGCAAATCTGATATTTAGAGACACTCAAATACAGTGAATGATTCTTCACTATACCTGGTATTAACACAATTTTTTCACTACTGCAGACTGCAGGGAATGAAGCATTTCAATCAGGAAGGCATGTGGAAGCTGTTGAACACTATACTGCAGCTTTGTCATGCAATGTTGACTCACGTCCTTTTGCTGCAGTTTGCTTCTGCAATCGTGCTGCTGCACACAAATTGTTGGGTCAAATTACTGATGCTATTGCAGACTGCAGCCTAGCTATAGCTCTTGATGGAAATTATCTGAAGGTCTTTGTCCAAACTGATGTTTTCTCATACTTCTCTTAAGATGTGATCTTACTGGGAGATTTGGATGACCATTGAAGTGTAATTATCCATGATCTTCCATGGATAATATTAAGGGTGCAAATTGTTAATTTTCACATTTTGTGCCATTATGTCTCGGCAGGTTCACCATTCCCATGAACTCTCAGTTTTCCTTACTGTTTTGTAGGGAAAAAAGTTCGTTTTCATTTGAATGATTAATGATGGCTCTGATTCTTGCTGGAGTGTTCAATATATTCATGCCCATGAAAAAGATTTACGATAAGGTAAGCTGGGGGTAGTTATGTGCTCTAATTCTGTCATCATTTTCCTGCAGGCAATTTCTAGACGGGCCACTTTGTATGAGATGATTAGAGATTATGGACAAGCAGCTAAGGACCTTGAGAGGCTTGTTTCTCTCCTTGAAAAGCTAATAGAGGAGAAAACCTCCCTCTCTCGTGCATTTGATAGATCAATGAATTTGGTAAATGACCTAAAACAAGCTCGTCTGCGACTGTCAGAGATTGAAGAAGAAGCCAGAAAGGATATTCCCCTGGATATGTATCTTATTTTGTAAGTTTATGTGTTGTTTTTTATTCTAGTAACGTAGTTATATTCGAAGTTAATAACCCCTATTCACTGATGACAACTATTTCTGAATCATGGAATGCATTAAACATTGATTCAGACATCTCGCTAAGTGCAAGTAACCTTGTTTTTTCTGAGTGCTTGTTTTAAATTGATTTGGCACGTAATGAATCAATAAAAATGCTCTGTTGGACATTTGGATGTGGGAATTACAAGTCTTGTTTTGTTGGGTGAGTTGCTGTTTCTGTGGTCATTTTCTTTTCTGTTGGAGTACCTGAATAAGTTTGTGCTTCAAGTATAGTTTTTCTTCTCGTGCATTGTCCAAAGCACTCTTAACAAGTCGAGTTGGAGCAAAGCTCAGATTTTATTGCCTGTGGTTTTTCTTTTTAATTAGTCATACCTCTTTGTCTCAATGTTATCTCATTAGCAAAAATATTTAGACTGGTTCTCTCTCTAGGCCCCTAGTTCAAATTTAATATTTTAAGTTTTTGTTGTGGATGGTCTGGTCATATGTTGTATGATCAGGAACTCTTCTTGTTTTCCCACTGTATAACCATGGGCACAATTGATGCAAGCATGCTTCACATCTTATTGAAATATAGTTATCATTCAACTTATTTCTACTGTTCTAGAAGCAGGAGAAGTTTTCTTTAGGATATTTCTTTGGTCGAGGAAGTTCTCTCTTCTTTTATCCTATTCTTCCTTCCCAAGGTCTATGGAATAGAACACATCCAATTTTCTCTTCATCTCTCCTATCAAAATTCTTAATCTTCACTTTCTTTCTTCACAATATCTATGGAATTAGTACTATGATTTATCCTGATTGATGTCGTATTACTAGAACCATCTTTTTCATTCACTTCTTTCTTCAATATATTGGGAAATTAGTACTTTGATTTCTTCCGTTGAAGTCCTACTATTGGCATATTTTTTCATTTCTTACTTTTTCTAGCTACTCTGTTTTATGCTTTAGATAAAATAATGGTAATGCTTCCGCTGATTAGTTGTCTACCAAATGTAACTCAACATATTGAAATGGCTTTTAGAACTTTCTCGTCGGTGAAGTTTGTAACATCTGTCATTAAGATAGACCCCCAAAATGATTTATTATTTCAACTATGGTGGCAGGGGTATTGAACGGTCGGTTTCAGCTTCTGAAATAAGAAAGGCTTATCGGAAAGCAGCACTTAGACATCATCCAGACAAGGTTTACTATTCTTACATGCTTGCCAATTTTTATCCTGTCTCGGGGAGAAGCACAGCTAGGATAGGAATTAAAATGTTCGCACTTCTAACATATTCTTTGATTTTTCTAGGCTGGTCAGTCTTTAGCAGAAATGAAAGTGAGATGATAGATCTGGAAGAGATCGGAGAAGAAGTCCACAGGATGCTGACAAACTATTTAAATGATTGAGAGCATATGCAGTGCTTTC